TTCTTTAACAAGAAGGCTGACAAATGTGCCATATAAAATGATGCCAGATAGAGTCACAAAAAGCTGTTGGATTGTTCAGCAATATGCTAAATTGAACCTTATTATATTTATTTTCCAGTAACCCGGCACTTTAAAAAGTCTTACTGAATTTCTGTTTCCATGGAATTTGCAGTTACCATGGGTTTTTCTCATAACTTATTTACTTATAATTCTAATATGCTTGTTACAACTTGAATCCCTCCAGTGCACCATCATGCTGTTATTTCATTTATGGCTTATTCACCTTTAAGTAGTCTTTTTGTGTTAATAACCTTGGACAAAATTACATCATGCCATTATCTATAACTTTTAAGGATGTTCATTTTAATTCTTTTAAATTGAAGCCCAATATTGTAATGCTCAGTTACCTTCTGTTAAATTAAATAAGGCAAAGGTTTTTTTGTTAAATTTTGGTAGATTTAATTTCTGTTAAGTTTCAATATTACTAAGTTTGCACAATGATCTATTCCAATTTTTATGGATTCAGTTATGTTTGGTATTAATAGTAATTAACTTTGAGTTCTCTCAAGTGCACTTTTTGTTCTACTAAGGTGATAATGACATTAATTTTAAATCCTTTTAGGGCTGAGTTTAAGTTCCTCTTGTTAAGCTCTAGCACTGTCCAAATAAATTTCTGTCAGGTTTGAGTGTTATTTAATCTGAGGTACCATAAATTTTACTAGTGAGCTGCTCAGTGTTTTCCTTTGATGCATTTATTCTGTCATAAATACATCAATCTTTGTATTACTGTTTTTATAGCCAGATTTTCATTTGCTTTACCATCTTTTGGTGTAATTATCTACAAGAGACGTGTCATTTCAGGATCCTCCTTTTGTTCTCTAGCTGCTTATGTATCTCTCAGACCAGACTACCCCTCTAGCTGGGCTCTGCACTGTGGCTCTATGGTTTGACCCAGTGCCGTCGTCTCATCATTTTTAAGAATTTTTCAGAGTTCCAAGAAATGATATCTCAGCTTTGTGGGAAGCCTCCTCTAAACTGATGGTATTGTGACATCTACTCTAAGTAATCAGATGCAGCCCCAATTATTATTACAGAACCACTCCAACAGTTTGCTGGGTTTAAAGCATCTCTATGCTGAGGGAATTTTGGAGGAGACAGCTATTGCATGGTTCATTAGTCTGTCACCCCTAGACCTTTACTTCTAAGTGCTATTCTCAAGAGCCTTGTTTTAAATGACGTTTAGGGAATCTTCTCCCACTTAGAGTTTGGGTGGTGGCCAGGCCTTAGCTCTACCTGGACGGGAATTTGCCAACAGATCCAGATGTTTTCTGCATCAAAACAAGATTTGAGTTGCTTTGACTTGGCAATTTGACCCTCTAGACATGACAGTTGAACTCTTTTTAAAGGGAGCTTGGGAATTATTATCTGGAAATAATTCTCCAAGTCCCCACTGAATCGAGGCTTGTCAGCTGTTTGCAGACTCTGGGATGATGGTACATTATTGCAGAGATTGCTATTTACCTAATTCCACCTATGTTGTTAGCTTTGTCTGCTATTTGAAATATTCCTGATTGTTGTATCCAAATTATTCCTAATTGCTCTAAGTTTCTTGCCCTCTGCATGTATTATTTTGCTATGATGTTTCTTCATACTCATAACAAAATACATGCATCTCATTCTTAAAAAACAATAAAGAAAAGGAAGGAATGCCTTAAGAACGTTCAAATAATACAATATGTACATGAGAAATTTGGACGACTAATCATTTTGAATAATGCAATATTTACATGAGAAATTTGGAAAAAAGATCATCACATCTAAATCCCAATTGAGTGTACCACAGTGAAGCCTAATTGATTCATTAACTTCAGGAGAAGATGTGCCTGTGTTTCATCAGCAGCAGTTCAAAGCAGTCACCTGTTCATTCCATCAGATACTGATCAGCTCTGAAAACATGAGGCCCAGTGCAAAGAGAAATAACCTCATCACCTTGCAACTTTTGCTTAAAAGGTTTCCTTGCAGCCTTTGTGGCCAGAGCAGGAACAGGAGGAGGACTGCCAAGACATGGCTGTGTCTGGAAACTGACAGAGGCAATTTTTTGTGGACAGTTGGCTAGCTGAGAAAGGTCACGTCGACATCATACCGTTGGTTAAGTTAGAAGGAGACAAGTTTAGGATTTAGCAGTCAGCGTCCAATCACTGACAAGGGCATTGTGTCCTTGCTGCAACAACAGGATAGAGGAGAGGATCTTTTGCCAAAAATATGAGGATAGTTTCAGCAGAATAACCACAAGAATGTAGAAGTAGTAACAAAATAACCATAAGAGTATAGAAGTAGGCGTGGTTGACCAATAAGTAATTAACCAATAATGAGCTCAGCTTTGCAATATGTATAAGCTTTATTAACACCAATATAAATATGTGTGAACTATCAATAAGCTTCCTGAGACTTGCTGATCACGCATATTGTGTGCTGCATTTCTTCCGCCGATTCCGACAGGTTTCCTTGCAGCCTTTGTGACCAGGGCAGGAACAGGAGGAGGACTGCCCAGACATGGCTGTGTCTGGAAACTGACAGAGGCAATTTGCCAACAAAAGCCTCCTGGCATCCTCATGGTACAGTGCTCCTATGAACCTTCTTCAGTTATTCCCTGTTCCAGCTCCCAGGAGGACATTCAGTGATGTCAAAGATCAACGTTTCCAGCTCATAGACTTTCTCATACTTCTCAACTCATTGGAAACAATGGTCATTTCTTTCCATTTCCCTAAGAGACATTGGACATTATTCTTTTGTTTTCTCATGCTGCAAAACCCTGTGTCAATGACTTGATAGAATTTGGTAAGTTTTGTTGATTGTAATTGGTCTTTTATCTATCTTATCCCATATCTAACAGATAACCAGTGATAACCTTGATGAGATAATGCCCTCACAAGAGTGAGCTGTTTCAACATCAGAACATAGGAGCCTTTTTTAAATTAACGAAAAGGGGGGAGAAGTCATGGACTGTGACTGGTGTCACAAGGGTTTTCAGGGTGAAGAAGAGACGAGAACGTTGACTCCATGATCAGAAGGCTTGATTTATTCTTTTATGATATATGTTACATTAGACTATACTAAAAAGCAATAGAAAGGAAAGGTTTCTTCAGCAGCTAGCTAAGCTAAGAATAGAAAAGGAATGAATAACAAAGATCTGTGTCTCAGACAGAGCAAGAGCCAGCTCTGCCATGAGTGGTCAAGAAATCCAAACACCCACAGGAGACCAATCACCTGTTGCATTCCACAGCAGCAGATAACCATTGTTTACTTTGGTTGCTGAAAACTGCAGCTTCTCACAAGGAAAAATCCTAAGAAAGGATTTTTCATGAAAGATGTCTGCGACATGTCACCTTTTTTTATTTAATTAAATTAAAAGGAAAAAGCGTTTGTAATTTTCTCTGCTGTACTCATGCTGAAGAAAAAGACAAACACTTGACAGGTTATCTGTTGCCAATCAAACTCCACTCAAGTGCTCCTGTGGAATGCACTGGGAATTTCTTCACCTGTAGAACATAAAATTCTATCATATTACTAAAACAATTCTATAATATAGGAAAATGCAAAAACAATGCAAAGAAAATTCAAGTCCAAGCAGCTGAGTTTCAGGAAAAGTCCATGGCTTGAAGATGTTCCTCTTTGCCATATCTGAAAGTTTCTTTTGGTCCTGAAACAGGCTTGCTACAGAAAAGTCCATCAATAGTTATCAAATGTCCATTGACAGTCTTCAAAGAATTTCGAGAAAATTTCTGAAATGTCTTGCCACAGCCCTTTATTGAACAACTTGGGCTGAAGCCAATCCCTGGCTCCTCAATGCCTCTGCTCAATGCCTCTGAGCTGCTGCCAGCTCTTTCACCCTTTTTTATTCAATTAATTTTTTTTTTTTTTTTTTTTTTTTTTTTTCTTCTTGTCGGAAAGAGCAGCAGCAGAGGAGCCAGAGAGAGGCCCTTGGGGGCCCTGGCCCATGTGGAAGGATCAGGAACCCCACACCTGGCCCACAGAAAGGTGGCCCAGGACCAGAAGGGGGAAGCAAAGCCCCCAAACCCAACAGGAGGCCGGGAGGTGGCCCTGGCCCAAGCAACCAAGCCAGACAGCCCAGGCCCAGCCCCCGAGGCAGGCTCTGCATTGGCACAGACCTGCACCCTGCTGCCAGTACAATGGCAGAAGGGGTGACCAAACGCTTCCTTTCCCCAAAATCACCGAGGCATGCCGGCAATGGGAAGACAGAAGCTGTCCCGAGAAACTTCGTCTCGGGTCTGGGGATGTCCTTTCCCCACAGCAGACAAGCGATGCTCGCTTCCTGCTGTGCCCTCTGACTCTGCGATGCAAATGCACCAGGTGTTCCTCCCATCTGCCTCACGGCACCACCTCCACCCCCTCTGGGCTGGGGACCAGGGGCAGAACTTTCGGGACCCACCTCCCCCTCGCCGCTGGGGCGCGCAAGGGGCGGCAGAGAGATTCGCATCCCCCAGGGGGAAACCCTGGACCAAACAGCCCCCAACCCGCCAAAAATGCTGATCTTGAAAACAGGCAGCCGCGCTGCGCCCACAGCCAGCTGTCGGGCCATGCCTCCTCCACGGAAGGACAGGCTGACGCCCTCTTCCTCTGTCCCAGCTCCCGCTGTAGGGGCAGCCCCGGGACAACCCGAAAAACTCGGGGAGGAAGTCACGCTGGATGCAGGAGGCGCCGCTGCAGCTGCCGCCGCCGGCTCCAGGGCAGCCTCTGACGCAGACACGGAGGACGGAGTCCCCACAGGCGGCAGAACTGCTGGGGAGGGCAGCGGGGCCGCCTGGGGAGGCGGCGGGGGCGGCGGGGGCGGCACGGGGTCGGCAGCATCTTCTGCGCCGGGCTCTGACATCGGCCGCGGAACCACAGTCGCAGAAGGCGGCGGGACGGCCGGGGGGAGCGGTGGATCGCTGTTGCCCAGCAACATCGGCGCTGCCGCGGGAAGCGGTGTCTCTGAGACCTCAGATGCAGACGGGGAAGCCGGCGGAAGCGCGGCCGGAGCGCCCACAGGCTCCCCCGCAGGGGCGGCCGCGGGAGGGGCCGCGCGGGGAACCGCCCGCACCCGCGGGGCGGGGTGAGGCGGCGCTCGCGGCGCTGGCCGGGGCGGTGCCCGTGGCGCTGGCCGGGGTGGCACCGCCCACTCCCATCCCCCCTGAGAGCAACCGGAGGGGGGAGAAACCGGCTCCGTCTGAGCATGCTCCGAAGACGCAGTAAAAAAAACTTCGGTTGCGGGCGAAACTTCGCCCCCCCACTGCAGTTCAGGGGGGCTGGAAAGCAGCAGAGCGTCCCCTTCCAAAGGGTCTTCCCCCGGAATCGGGGGGAACGGGGCTTTGCCCTTGCAGTTAGCAATCCAGGGAAAAACAGCTGCTCTCCGTTTCAAGACTAGAAAGAGCTTCAAAAAGGTTGGATAAATCGAGGGGCATCCGAACCCCCGGTATAAAAAGAAATGGAAAATGGAGCCCATACACTCCCAGACAAACACATCGAGGGCATATAGCACATCCGTAAAAAAACCAAAGAGCTTCGCCCATCGAAAAAACTCATACAAATCCGTCTCCAACAGGAGAATTCTGTCCTCTGCACCCCATTTTTGCCAGAGGGCAATAAGTTTCTCCTCTGAAGGGGAGAATGGAACCTCATCCTCTAGGGGAGAAGTCCTCCAGATGAGCAGCCACAAACTGCGAATGGCCTCATCTTCAGGAGGGCAAAAACCAACAGTACCTTGTGACAGTGTCCAGGACTCTCTGGCTATCTGCACGGTGCTGCTGAGCTTTCTGAACATCTTCCTGGAGGCTTTTCAGAAGGTTCTCTTTGTGGTCAGCCTTGCTGAGAACTCTGTCCAAATTCGGATCTTCAGTTCTTCAGCTCCTGGCTAGAATCCACTTCTGTGGTCACTTGCGAAGCAACCATCAATGCCACACATACAGGGATTACCCAGTGCAGCAATGCTCCTCTGGTGGTCTCACCAAGTGATGAGTGTCCTCCTCAGTCGGGGGTCACCAATTGTGACTGGTGTCACAAGGGTTTTCAGGGTGAAGAAGAGACGAGAACGTTGACTCCATGATCAGAAGGCTTGATTTATTCTTTTATGATATATGTTACATTAGACTATACTAAAAAGCAATAGAAAGGAAAGGTTTCTTCAGCAGCTAGCTAAGCTAAGAATAGAAAAGGAATGAATAACAAAGATCTGTGTCTCAGACAGAGCAAGAGCCAGCTCTGCCATGAGTGGTCAAGAAATCCAAACACCCACAGGAGACCAATCACCTGTTGCATTCCACAGCAGCAGATAACCATTGTTTACTTTGGTTGCTGAAAACTGCAGCTTCTCACAAGGAAAAATCCTAAGAAAGGATTTTTCATGAAAGATGTCTGCGACAATGGACAGGTAGAAAAATGATAAAAGAAAGGCCCTATGAAATCAGGCCTTGTTCTGCCATGTTAACAGCTGGCCTGCCATCTCTTCTGAGTGCAGCTAAGCAGTTACAAGTTCCCATGTGAAGCTATTGTGAGAATGAGACTTTGTGAACAATCTATTCTGAGGGTGAAAAACAAGTACACCTGCAACAACAAGGGATTTGTCCCATGAGAATCAGTGAAGAGATAAACAATACAATAGAGAGATTTGATGCACAAGTAAAATCTATTTTATTAACCAATAATAGAATAACTGATAAGAAATCTATGAACTAACTAAAGTTGCACACAAGGTCTTTCAAACTGTGTAAAATGAGTTGTGTTAATAAAGAATAAAGACTTCTCCAGCTCAGCTGGGTCCTCTGGGATTTCAGTTCCCCCCTTCTTTGAGGCTTTGGGTTCCTCCTTCTTTGGGGCTTTGGGTTCCCTCTTCTTTGGGGCTTTGGCTTCCTTCTTCTCTGAGATTTTGGCTTCATTCTTCTCTGGGACTTTGCTTTCCTTCCTCTCTGGGGCTTTCATGTCCTTCTTCTCTGATGCTTTGGTTTTCTTCCTTTCTGATGCTTTGCTTTCCTTCTTCTCTGAGATTATGGTTTCCTTCTTCTCTGAGATTTTGCTTTCCTTCCTCTCTGATGCTTTGGTTTCCTTCTTGTCTGGGGCCTTGGTTTCTTTCTTCTCTGGGATTTTGGTTTCCTTCTTCCCTGGGATTTTGGTTTTCCCCTTCTCTAGTTTTGGAGGTTTCTTCCCCACAGAGACACCCTTCTTTTCCTTCTTCTGCCTCTCTTCATCCTTCCGCCTCTCTTCCTCCTCTAAGGCTTTTGCCTCCTCCTCAAGCTTCTTACCTGACTGCTTCAGCTCCCTTCTGCAGACAAAATAGAACAAAACAGAAAACATGGCTGAGAGTCACCACCAGAAACTTGGGCTCCCTAGTCCTGGATGGCCCTGCACTTCATTCCTTGACCCTGAGGCCATTTCCGTGAATTCTCCTCAACCCACAGAGGTTGGGAACATCCCAAGTGAGGCCATTGGTGGAAGGGGACCTCCAGGACCAGCCAAACCTAAGCTTTACCATCATAAGCTCTTGACTGTGCAAGCTCCCTCTTAAGGCACAGCCAGACCCCTCCAGCCCCTACCAAAGGCTGATCCACCAGCTCTCTGTGCTGGTGCCCTTTGTCTCTTGGCTTCCCAGTTTAGAGCAGAGCACAGATTGCTGACATCTGCTCATCTCTCCTACAATTCTTACTCAGCTCATTCAGCCCCCTTCCTCCTGGGCATAGCTGAAGCATGATTTTAAAGAGTTCAGATTTCAGCTGAGGGTTAGAAGCAATTCCCATTGGTCAGGATGTAAGTTAGACAGGCAGACCATAGGTTAATGATTATGAGATGCTTAAGCTGGAGCTGATTGTTCTATTGTTTACCATTAGGAGCTTCTTTCTAGAAGGAAGTGGAGGAAGTGAACTGTTATAAGAACATCTTGAAATCAGGAGAACAATGCTTAGCACCTGGGCTTGATGTCAATCAGTCACTAAGCAGGGGACCTTGGATCGTGTCAGAGGGTCACAGAGACCTGATGAAGACATTCCTGACTTCATCCCTTAAGACCACGGACCCAATTCAAGACCATCGACCCAATTCAAGGGAAGAATTGCACAGGTGTGAAGGACCAATGACCTCACTTGAATACAGAGCAGGGATGGGAGGGGTTGTGTAGATGTATTGTATGTAAGATCTTGGGCAATAAAGAGAGGGCAAAGAACCTTGGACAGCGCGGTCACGCCTTTTAGGGACGGCTCTGGTGCCTCCCGCCAGTGTTAATAAACACACCACTGCCTAACTTTAATTAGTTAGAGAGTCTCGGTCTGTGACCTTCGGTTTTAACAACTCCTAGCCTGCTCCTTCATGAGAACAATCCTATCAGTCAGAAAGCAAAGGCTGCAGGAACTCTTCTCCTGCAAGGCAGGCTCTTGTCAGCCAGATTTCCTGCTGGACCCCAGCTGTGACCAAGCAAACCAGTGCTGGCTGCCATGGAAACCATTGGAAGCAGCCTCGTCCCTCTCCTCCCCATGCAACCAACTTCAGCCTGGCCTGAAGAAGTCCTGATACACAGGCTGGCTTGAAGCACCTCCACTCCCAGCTCCACCCTTGGCCTGTGTGTCCTGAGCTGGGCTGCCTTGCTGGAGCTGAGCTTCTCCTGTGCTTGCCCATGGCTGCAGCTGCAGGGGAGCCTAAAGGACATGAGCTTTTCTGGCTGCTGTCCCACCATAAGGAGAACCCTGGCAGATCAGCATTGCAAGGACTTCATCTGGGGCAGGAGCAGGACCCAAAGCCAGGGTTTGCTCTGTGCCCCACACCTGCCCATACCACAATGCCACTGTTTTGGTGAAGAAGGGAGATGATGAAGAAGATGCCACTCCACACCATGGACTTCAAGACACCTCTAGAGGCAGTGCCAAGGCAAGCCCAGAGCCCAGCTCCCTGCAGGCAGCAGCTAAGCCAGGAGGGCTCAGCACTCAAATAGAGAAGATGTTCTTTCTCAACAGAAGAAGGTCCTTCCTCTCTTGGCAGGCAGAAAGCTCAGAGTGGCCATCCCTGTGTTGCTGCTGGCCTTTGCTATGCAGCACCTCTGAGCTCAGAGTCCTTGGAGCAGGGAAGCCCTGCAGGGACAATAACCCATGGCAGAGCAGGAACCCATGGAAGGCTGACTCACCTCTCCCTGAGAGGGGCCTGAGAGCCACAGTTGATCCACCGGGGGCTCAGGGAGGAGCTGACACGTGAGGCCTCCCCGGGCACCAGCCCCTCGTAGCTGGGGCCTCCCTCCACGTGGCACAGCTCCGGGACATTGCAGGTGCTGCTGAGGTGGCCAGAGAAGGTGGAGAAGACCTGCTGGCTCTCTCCTGGCTGCAGCACACCTGACAGTGGCAGGACACTGAAAGCCTGGATGGAAGACAGGAAAGATTGAGGTGCTGAGCATGGAAATGGATGCAGAAGAGCATCTTGGAGCAAAGGGCAGCTGTAGCCAGAGGGGCCTATTCCACAAACACTGCCAGAATCACCCTCACCGCATCCTGCATCCATGCCACTGACCAGTGCAGGGACCATGGGGAAAATCTTCTCCCATCCTCACGGGTCAATGCATTAATTAGTACATTACATGAAAGTGAACTGGGATGTCTCCTGGCAGTAGAAATTCTCTCTGATGCACAACTTGCCTTTAAAAAGTTTCAAAGCTTCCTGCTTTTAGAAAAGGAGGAGACTCAGAGTGAGAGCTCTTGGAGCTGAGGGAAGGAGCCCAGCCCAGCTCATCTGACTCCTGAGGCTCTTGCCCTCTCTCTCTGATTTAAATGCTGCCTTCTCAAGGTGCTACAGCAAAAACTCCTGCAAAAACTTCCTGTGGAGCACCTGAGGAGTTCCAGGGGGAGCAGTGCCCTCCACAGGTGCTGCACAGTGTCCTTGGGCAGCCCTACAACGTGTCCTGCACGGCCTCTCCAACAAGCAGCTGCTTCAGCAGCCCTTTGTGATGGGCCTGCAGGGATGGGAGGCCCCTCTGTGGCCAATGCTGAGGGCCCCCAGTGGCACTGGCAGCTCCAGCCCTGCTTGCCACGCTGACAATGGGCAAGTGAGACAGATTCCCTCTTGCCTTCTCCGCTCCCAGGGGAGTGTGTGCCACGTCCAGGGAGCACCTGAATCCCTCCAAGCCTCGTGGCAGGTGAGGGTTTGCAGGAGTTGGTGCTGGCACCTGAAAAACAAGCCATTTTCTGTGCTGGGAGGAAGAGACAGCCACTTTGCAAAGTCTCCCTTTGTAAGACAGCTCCAGGGCCAGCAGTGCAGCAGCAGCTCTGGGTGAAAGCAGAGCCCTGCAAACAGGGAGTCTGGCTGCCTTGGGAAGAAGCTCCATGGAGATCAGGACCATCCCAGCTTGCTCTGGGAGGGAAGCTGGAGATCTGACCAGGATGATGCAGATAAAAGCCTCATCTTACATTGGGAAGGAAACAAGGCAAAAAAATCCCACACTCAACACAGGCCTGTAGGATCTGAGTCAGCTTCTCCAAGGAAAACTCTCCTGTTTCTCCCTCCCCCTCAGCCCATGTCCAGCCACTGGCCCTGCTGCCCAGCCCACTGTCAGGGCACAGCCCAGCAGGGCAGCAAAAAGGGAGCTCAGCATGAGCAGGACTTGGTGCTGGCAGGCTGGGGAGGCAACACAAGCACTGGATGTACAAGAAAATCTACCTCTGCTCCTGAAGAGTGGGTAAAAGCCTGCACTTCTTTCAGGGCTCTGGCTGTATCCTCCTGTCCAATCCTGAAGTGCCTCCATCGAGTTGCTGAGGAATCCAAACTGGTTTTCTTCTCCTTCGGTGGCTGGGGTTTGAATTTAGGTGGGTAGAGCTCATCTCTGGAAAATAAGATAACTATGAACAGGGATCTGCAGTGGGAGGGAGGGACACCTGCACGAGCAGCTCCTGGCCAGGATGCAGCCCCTGGGTGGGTGCTGGCACGTTGAACTGAGAAATGGTTTGATCCAGCCCTTCCCAATCCAGGCTGGAGCAGGTCTGTTCTAAAGGCAGCCCAGCGATGACACTGAGGTGCTGCAGCAGCTGCAACTGCTTGCATTGAGCAACTACAGAGGACAGGCATGAACACCTGGTGGGGATGCAGAAAGCACAGTGGGAGAGGGAAAGACAGAGAAGGCAGCAAAAAGGTGAGATTTGAGGCACCGAGGGGCAGACCCAGCCAGTGCCCAGCCAGCAGAGCCCCCCCAGTGCCCAAGGCCAGAAACTCTGCAGCTCCACCAGGGATTTATCAGGAATGTTCCCCTGACACTGCTGGGGGGTTGGTTGACATTTTCCAACACTCCCAGGCAACCCAGGTCGCATTCCCAATCCATCCATCCATCCATACATACACAGGCTGTGGTGCTGGGATCCTGCCAAGCTCTGCCAGCCTTGGGCTTGGGGAGATTTCTGCCAGCTGTCCTGAGCTCCGTAGTTGTGCTCTCTGTTCCAGGAAGCAAGCAAGAAAGATTTAAAAAAAACCCCACAACAAACCACAACAGGGAAACCTAAAAAACCTTCAACAGCTCAACCCTGCTCAAGTTATTTCTTGAGGGACAGCTACCACTCTCCAGCTGAAATGCTGGGGTTTTGGGGAAAAAGAAAATTACATGTTCACCTCCAAATCGAAAAGGATTAAGGTAAGAGAACCTTTCAAACTAAAAATTATTGGCCCAAAGCTGTTACCTTTGCAAGAAATCTCTAGTTAAGACCAGGCTGACAGTTAAACAACTGGTTCTTCTGGTGGGGAGAAACCCTCCTCTTTAAGGGAAGCAGAGCAGCCTGATAGTTGAAAGCAACTGTTTTGTCAAACTTCAGGCTCCCTGGCACAGCCTGCATTGCCTGTCCTTCCTGTTCACTGATTTACAGGCAGTGCCGCAATGGCCCAGGTTCCGATGTTTGGTGCCATCCAGGGAATTTGGCATTGCCATTTCCATATGTTTTAATATAAGTTTCAATCCTTGCAACCACCCTTCAAATGCCAGCTTTCCTTTCTTTTACAGAAAGCTCAAGGTTCCCAGAAGTCTTCTGACGTCCTCTTTTGTGCTCAGAGAGATGACATTTTGAAACAGATGTTTCCAAAGTTAACAGCATTTGAAAGAAGAATGAACTGAAATGCCCCTGGATTCCAGCTTAGCCGAACTCCATTCTGTGTCAGACACTGAGATTGCCACCTCTAAGGCAGGAGCTGTTTGTGCCACCCATCCCTCCTGTCCTTCTCCCCAGCAGCCTGTGCCTGTTTTCCCCGGCAGAATCCCTGTCCCTGTGCACCCTGCCAGGAGCAGTTGCACACAGGCACACATCTCCCCTTGCCCTCACCAGTGGGTTTCTCTCATCCCCGAACACGCCGATGACAACGTTGGTGCGATGAGTGCCCAGGGCCTGCACTTCCACCACAACTGGGATCTCTGCTGTGCTCTGGGGCTGCACAATCCCACAGGGCTTGGGGCTGGAGTAGAGCACAGCAGAGTCCTCCTTGCGTTTCTGGAAGGGACAGAATGAAATGCAGCTTCAGAGGCACCTCTGGAGAAACTTTAGACTCCTTAACATCCACCACAACAGCAACTTACACACACATTTAAAACTCCCCAGCACAAAGGTAAAAGGCACAAACAAGATGCAAGAATTGTAGGCTTAGCACTCCCAGGGGATCCTGCAAGGAGGCTGCCAGCACAGGCACTGGTGTCTGTGGATGCAGCAGCTTTTCACAACCCTCTAAGATCTCCCACATGAAAACACCCTGAAGACCAGAACATCAGCTGTTTCCTCAGGAGCTTCAACTGCCTCCTAAAGTTTACAGTCAGGTAGGATCCTGCTCTCAGCAGATCTTTAAGACTGAATAGAAACCAGCAAGGTCTTGTCCAAACCCTTTTTCCCCTTAATAATCTCCTCAGTAATATTTGACAGAAGGAGGTGGATGTGATGCCAAACCTGGGGAATGAGCCCGTAGCAGCCAGGAAGGTGGCTGGGATTCCTAATGATGATCTTCCTCTCATATGGCACCTTCAGGTGGCACTCATCGTACAGCAGGACTGGGGAGGACACTTGGAGCTCAGGAACGAGACATCTGGGCAAAGAGATGACCCCAGGGCAATCAGAGATACTGAGAGAATGGAGAACGTTTCCCCCCAAAGATTGTGCAATGGAGCAGAACACATTGGTCACTGTCAAATGCACACTGAACAGCCCTACAGGGATAAATTGCCTTCTACCTCTTCCCACTCCAACATGTCTTGTCAAGGAGGGGCAAACCCTGAGAGGCAGCACCCAGAGGCTGCCAAGTGCCCCAGGCAGAGCACTTTGTGCCACAGCTGCCTCAGCCCCTCCTTTACCCAAGAAGGCTTGCAAGGACTCCTGGAACAGTCCCAGTGAGCCACGAGCTCTGGGGGAGCCTTCCCAACAAGGATCAGGGCTCCCTAAGGCTCAAGGAATACACAACTCTAGTGTCTCAGTAAAAATGACTCCCTTCTCCCATGGTGCTGTTGCCCTGCCTGAGAACTCAGCTCTTTGCCCCAGCCTTGGAGGGCATGAGACAGCAGCTGCCCCACAGAGGGGCTGATCAGCCCCTGCCAGGCCCTGCAGCTCCCTGGCTCCTTCACTGCACAGCTCCAGGCACTGCCTGGCCCCAGCTCCACCTGCTTTACAGAATGGCAGCCCAGGCACTGCCTGGATGGCTCTGCCTGGGACAGGGAACAGCACCAGGGAGCTGCATCCCTCTTGGCATCACACTGACACCCACAGCAGCACAGCAGCATGGAATTCTGCTGCAGCAACAACGACTTTTGGTCTCAACTCTGACAACATTAAAGCTCAAATTGGGAAGCAGAGGGAAGGAGAAAAACTGGAGCTGACCTGCCACATCAAGGGCTGCTTTCCCCTCATAAGACCTTGCCCTAACCACTCTTGCTGGGAGCCACTTCCCCCCTGCCATGGGCCCTCATGGACAGAGCCAGACCCTGACTCTCAGCAGGCTGCTTGGTGTGGCCCAAACCAGTGCACAGTGCTCACAACCAGCACAACTCCACCTCTTGCAGAAGAAGGAGAGGAGGCCCTCGGGAAATTTGTTCCACCTCAAGCACCAAAACCCAGGCCAATCAATGATATCATTCCTGGTGCCCTTAGCAGAGGGCCCAGGACCGTGCTGGCTGTGAGCAGGGGTGCTTTTCACCACAGGCTGCTGCCCAAGCACTGCTGTTCCCATGTCCAGCTGGCACAACATGAGGGCATCCAGCAGCACTTCTCCTTGGCAGCTGCAGCCAGCAAAGCCTGGGCAAGGCAGCGCCTGGGGGGGCCAGGCAAGGGCTGGTACCTGGCTGTGATGATCAGGGTTGCCACTCCCTTGCCAATACCCTCCAGGTCCACCAGCATTCTCCTGTAGAACTCCATCACCGTGTTGGAGCACAGGGTCACCTGGTGGAAGAGAAGAACAGTCAATTCTTCCTTACAAAAGCTCATTACCCACATGTGATATCCTCCACTTCCTGAGGGAGGATTTGGCCTTAATTCTTCTGCTGCTCCGTGTGTAGAGCACAGTCTCAGTAACAAAAGCCTTCTGGCAATGCCAGATTTGTTAAACACACCTTGCTATCAGGGCACAGGTCAGCTACATTAAAACATTAGACTAAAGCTCTATGCACCACTGCATTCAAATTAAGGGGCCAATTTTTCATCTGACTACAAAGACATCCATGCAGAGGAAATCTGCCTTGAACACAATGAGTTCAGCTTCACAGCAGGAAGCTGAGGGCAAAGTGTGGCCCAGCAGGTGCTGGGCAGTTCATGGCTGCAGAGTTTTTTGTCCCCACTGGAGATTCCTGCAGTGAACGCAAATCATTCTGCTCCCCCGGAGGAGGGAAATGAAACCAACAAGAAAAGCTAACTGCTTTATCCAATGACATCTCTCTAACAGCCACCTTCTGCCCTCATCCTTCTGCTGCCCACTTGCAATCAAATAACTCGCTCTCAAAAACACAAGAATGGCCTCAGGCCTTGACCATAAGTAATGTGACCTCAGCATATGAATTTGGAAACCAAACAGTGCTCCTTGAGGAACATCCTGAGTAAGCCAGCTAGCAGAGGCCTCCCAGCAGTGCAGATCTCTCACTGCCAGGATGCTCAAAGCTGGCACCAGAGCTAAAGCCCTCCCACACTGCAGTGCAGCTTCAGCCCTGGTGCTGCAGTGTCTGTGGCTGGGCTCTGGCCGTACCTCGATGTCCTGGTGTCCCTGGGGGAGGATGGTGCCTTGGCTGGGATTCATGGTGAACTCCCTGGGCTCCACATAGAAATGGATTCCCTTCCTCCAGGCCGGGTCAGTGTCCCTGCGGATCTGATCCACGCTGTCCACAGCCGGCTGCGTGCCATCGTCCGACATGCGGAGCTGGAACGTCAGGGGCACCGGGGAGCTGTTGGTGAGGCGGCAGCGCCGCGTGTAGGGAAAGCCTGGGGAAGGACACAAATATCCATTCAGGCACCCATTATGGCATGATCCTGGGGGGAATAGCCTGGCAGGATGAAAGTGAGATTGGAGTTGAGCTCTTTATTATCTGAACTACAGCTCACCGAGAAGCTGCGTGAGGAATGAATGGTCACTGAGTTACCTTTGACACAGATTCCAGACTGCAGCCTTGAAAATGCCCACTCCTAGCCCTGCTGAACACTGCAAGCTTCTCTCTTTGGGATGGGGAGGAGCTCCCTCACCTGCCCCAAACCAGCACCAGTTATCTCTCAGTGATGAGTGTGCACCCAGACCCAGCATTTACTCTGAGAATTCAAGCTGTCAAATTCCCTGGTCAGCCTGCCAACACTCCCACCATTTTCAAGATATATAAACAGTGAGTTGTCATTGAGAAGAAGCTACAGCAAAAGAAAGTGAGGATGGAATCAGGAACTAGAACGTGATGCAAAGCACCCTATGCAGCTTGTCTCTGCAGGATCCTTAAGGCATCTCTTGGTTTGGGCCAAACAGACTGAGCACGTGACAGCTCAGAGCCCACTCAACTGGGGGCACACCCAAGCCTTGCTTTGAGATTAGCAATTAGGAACCAGGTCCCACCTCACCCAACAAACGGGGATATCACAGCCATGCTGCTCACTGTGATTGCTGCCTGCAAGGGTTTTCTCCACTTTAGCTCTGAGATTTGCTTTCCATCCTGCAAAGCCAGAGATACAGCCACTCATGGTGGGGATGTCCTGCAGAGCCCGCAGAGTAGCCACAGCCTGCTCTGCAGTGCACATCTGGCTGGGCTGGCAGCTCTGTGGGGAGGAGACTTCTCCCCAGGCCTGCTCACCAAGAGTCACTGGAACACAGATGGGGAGAAAAAACAACTGCAGCTGCAGCCCAGAGCTTCTTTGTGCCCATCCAAGTGACCACTGCCAGCTCCAGCAGGGACTCCAGCAGGGAGGCAAGAGAGGCACAAAAAGGACAAACCCAGATGTCAAAACCTCAAATGAAACTGAGGCTAGCACATGCAGACAACAGTCAACAGTTACAAAGAAGCAAAGATACAACAGCTGCCTTCAGCTGAAGAGACCTTAGGAATGAAATGGCATTCAGCAGGATCAATCTCCTGCTTCAGAACCATATTTCCATCTGTTGCTTTTCTTGTTTCATTTCTTCAAAAGGCAACTTGACAAGTGCCTCCGTGGTGATGCAGGCTGGGGCAGAAGCAGCTCAGGAAAGGCAATGAGTTTCCATCAGAAGTTCATGAACTTCATTGTTCTGGGTTTAGGCTTGGCAGTGAATGTTGCTCTTGGTCTGGGAAGTGGGATAGGGGTTTTGGGGGGTTTTGGCCCTGGGCTGGGCTTTTCCGTTGGGGGTTTTGGGAGTTGTGGCGTGATGCCGTGGGCGGCTGTGCAGTGGGAGCTGAGGCTGGGCAGGGAGCGGAGCTTCCCTTCCTCCCGCTCGGGGATCGCAGCTCGGCCGCTGCTGCTGCGGGAGGTTGTGTGCTTGGCCCGGGACTGCCCTGGCTGAAACTCAGCGCTGCCATCGACCCTGCCTGCCTGCCCCGCTCCTGCCTGCTGCTGCTGGGCACTGCCCACATCCCCCTGCCCTTTGGGGGTCTGCAAAAGGAGCATTTCCTCTTTCCCTTCCCTTCCCGCACCAGCTGGGAGGGGATCCCTGCCCTGCCAGAGCCCACAGCTCCTCCTGCTGTGACCACAACTCCACCAAAGGGGAAAAACGGGACTTGGCCCCTGGCAAACGTCTATTCTTGCCTTCTTGTCTGTGCTCTCCTGAGATAGTCTAGGAAAGAACTGTTATTCCTTTTCCCATAGTTTTGCCTGGGAGCCCTGTCATTTCAAAGGGATAATAATTTGGAGGGAGGGGCTCATCTTTCCATTGCAGGAAGATTCCCACCTTCCTTGGCAGACATCTGTCTTTTCAAGCAGCACAGAGACACCAGAAAATACTGACTTTCTATTCCTTGCTTCCATTGGATCTCACAATGGCAAAATGCCCCCTGAGGCAGCAGCAGCAGCAGCCCTGCAGTTGACAGCCTGAAGAGGCTGCTGGGACAGACCAGGAGTGAGGGATGCTTTTCTGTTGGAAGGCACAGATCCCTGACGCTGTGTCCCAGCCCAGGCAACACTCACCAAAGGAGATGTCCCCGAAGTCGAGCTCAGGGAGGTCAAAGTGTAAACTCGGTGCAGTGACGCTGCCCCTGGAGGCCGAGGACAGAGCAGGAAAGGGCTCGGTTAAAGGCATTGCAAAGGTCCGGCTGTCGTGGCTCGGGGGCACAAAACCTGGGCTCAGGGCACCCTGGGTTTCCAACCAACACAGCACCGTGTGCTCAGCACAGGGCCCTGTGCACAGGGGGCAGCTCACGCCAAGTGGCAGCAGCCAACAGCCCCTGATGGGCTTTGGGCACAGGGCAGGCAGGAGAAGCCCCTGGCTTGCCAGGGGTCCCATGAAGAACCCTGAACACACACCCAGACAGGGCTCCATGCCTCAGTTTCCCCATCTGCAATGGGATGGACATCAAGGTGTCCCCACAAACTTCTGTAAGCAGCCCTTCCAGCCACAGGTGCCCTGCTTTGCTCCTTCTTAGCTGCAACTGCTGTTCCCATGGAGGAGCTTTCTCAGGAGAGTTTGACCCACACAATCATTACAGAGTTCTGAGACACAAATCCAGGGCATTCCCAAACATCCTCTGGAAAGAGCAGCAACAGTTCTACCCAGGGGACAGATGAATCCTAGAGGAAAGGACCAGCTTGCCAGCAGTGCCCCAGCTGGCACAGCCAAGAGCAAGAGCTTCAACAAGCAAACAAGGCTGTCCTGAATCTAGCACAGCACCTCACCTGTCCTTGAACTCAGCAGACACACTCCAAAAGTCACCAACATCCACTGAAATCAGCACCTGAAGCTGCACAACACTCACCAGTTGATTTCATGGCTGATGCCAATCAATGCCCACTCTGCCTTTTGGTTCCAAATCAAGGAGCAGTGACCTGGGCCTTGTGTTGTATTCACAGGACTGCCCCTGGCTCTGCTCTGCACATCTCAACAAGAGACACCTGCCCTTGCTCCAGGAGAAAGCTGCTTATGCACAAACACCCCATGACCACTTTGGGGGAGGGACAGAGGAGAATAAATTCTTTGATGGTGAAAGGTTCCCTCTTGATTTCTAAAAGAAAAAAGCAGCACTCTTCCTCCAAAAACAAAGCCAGCATCATTATTTCTCCACTATGGGCACACCTACTCACCACTTTTCTCTTGCTAAGGAATAACTTCCTTGTTCTTCTTTATCCATCTCCCTTATCTTATTGCTATCATTCAGTGCAGACTGCTTTCATTTCTTTACTGCCTTGAGCCAGTGCCTCCCAAGGGCAGCAGCCCAGCTCCAAAGCTGCAGAGCAGCCAGCATCAGCTCTCCTGCTTCCACTGCATTATCCCAGCAGCACATGGCTCAGGCTGGCAGGGACAAGGCCTCACGCTGCTGTGGTGCTGAGGACTGAGCTCTGCCTCCCCTATGATCAGCCCTTCTCCCTTTGGCTGGGCCAGGATTGTCTCTTGCCATGGCACCAGCCCACGGGATGGTACCCCAGTCCTTGGCACAGTTCCTGCTGCACAGTTCCCTGACTCCCACATCAGCCCTTTGCTGGCTGTGCAAAGGAGGCACCAGAGCACTCTGTGCACAGGAGCTGGGAGCATGGTTTGTGCCCCACAGCATGGCCATGAGAGCTGAGGTGAGGCTGCTGCTGCCCATCTGGCATGGATTATTTACACAAGGTTTTACAAACACTGTTGCTGCTGCAGAATCACCCAGGCTGGCCCATCTGCAAAGCCCTGGGGGCCTTGCTGGGTGTTCAGCTGGGACATCCCAGAGCAGCCGCTGCCCAAAGCTGATCCATCCCACTGCCTGCCATGGCCCAAGGCACAGGGAGGATCCCTGCAGGGAGGAGTCATTCCAGCTGCCAGGCACCACCCAGGGCAGGAGGCATCCTCACACTAAAGCAATGCCAGCAGCAGAGCAGATATTCAGACCTTTTTTTCTCTGCTCCACCCCAAAAGGAGGTAGGTGGGGGATGTCCCAGAGACAGCCACAGATGCGCCCACCCAGCTGCCAGGGTCCTTACTTGATGGTCAGGATGGCAGGCCTAGGAGATCCAGCCACACTGAACTGGAACTCTTCCTCAAAGCTCCCCAGCACGGTGGCACTGAAGGAGATCTGGACACTCTGGCTCCCACCTGCTGCAATGATGCCCTCCTCAGGTGCAAACTTGAAGCACAAACCCACCTTGGTGCCTGAAGGGATGCAGGTGAAGGGAGCATCAAGAGCTCCTTGGTTCATCAGTTTCACCTGCAGCAGCAAGAAAGCAAAGTGGAAATACATGTGGAACCTTCCCTTCTTGTGAGTTCTTGGCTAATGATGCAATGAACACCCAGCAAAGGCAGAAGATGCTTTGTGCTGCTGAATGGCAGAAGTCAAAAGATACAACAGGACAAGTTCTGCCTTTGGGTTTTCATGCAGAGCAGTGGCAACTCCACAGAACTGCAGTCACCCTGGGCTTATCCCATGGACACAGAGCAGTGCACCTCTGCTCAGCAGCACCAAGCTCATTGGGAGCTGGCCCTGAGAGCAACGTGGGCTGATTGCAGCTGCAGAGTGAATCACCCCAGAGCTGCTGCTGCCCCACTGAGCACAGCTCCAACAGCACCTTCTACTCATTCACCTTTTCCCATACCATCAAAACAATACATTGAGAATGAGGCATCAGCATCAAAATGTACAGACAGCACCATCTCTTGGTAAGAAAACTCAGGATGTCTTTCTCTTCCCCAGCCAAGCTTTTGAAAGTGTCTGCCATGACGCAGTGCCTCATTTTCTACCTCTTTCAGTTGCTCTCTCATGAAGTTTTTGCAAACTTGACACTATTGGGGGGAGGCAAATAGGTAGAAAAATCCTTTGCTTTATTCCCAGGAACACTTTTCTCTTTCTAGAGCCAGAGATGCAGCAAGGCTGAAGTGTGGTGAGGGACTGCTCAGCAAGGGAGAGAACAAGGCTTTCCTGTCACTTGCAGCAATAAGCAGGAGACACTGGGAGCTGTTGCAGTGGGCTGAAGCTCAAAGGCAGCCAGTTTGTTGCAGCTGCTTCTGCAGAGCCCAGTGCAAAGGTGCCTTGTGTCTGGCACTGCCACAAAAGCCTCTGAACATGCAGCTTTTGGAGCCAGTGCTGGGTTCATGTGCCAAGGGCTAGTTTTGCAGGAAGCCTCCAGGCTGATCCCTAAGGAAGGCTGCCCAAAAGCAGGGACTGGGGCTTCAGGAACAACAGACACACGTTTCTGACCCCCCAGGTTTGAGCAGTACATCAAATATTCCCTGCTCTCAAGTGCCCAGGTTGGCAGCAATTCCACAGCTTCACCAGGCTTGCTGCTGCCAAAGGAGCCATCAGGATCCATCCCAAGCCCTGCTGCTCACCTCACAGACATGGGGGGTGTTGACAAAAACGTTCCCAAGGTTCAGAGTCTGAGAGCTGAGTTCAACCAAGGGTCCTTGGCCTTCCCCTCTGAGCTGCAGGGGCAGCCTGCTCTCACGGCCTGGGGAGAGATGTCCATTGCAGTACAATCATTGCCTCTGTTCCACTGGATTTTCCAGGCTGCCTCAGTGCTAGTCCCTGACTCTGAGCTGGATGCAACCAGCTCCTGATGCTGCAGGAGAAGATATGCACCCTTCTCTTCCCTCAGGAGTAATCCCTTGGGGCTGACTTCTAATTTCTAACCCATTCCTCGGGCTAGTTTCCAGTTTGAGCCACTCGTTTGCTGAGTTTAAAAATCTCTGGTGTCCTGTAGTGACAGGCCAAGGAGTAATGGGTAGAAATTGAAAGAAAGGAAATTTAGGTTAGATATTAGGGAAGAAATTTTTACTGTGAGGGTGGTGAGGCACTGGAGCAGGTTCCCCAGGGAAGCTGTGGAGATTCCAGCCCTGCAAGTGTTCCAAGCCAGGCTGGATGGGGCTTGGAGCTACCTGCTCCTGGGGGAGGTGTCCCTGCCCATGGCAGGGGCCTTGGCACCAGATGATCTTTAAGGTCCATTTCATCCTTAACACACTGTGATTCTGTGGTTTCCTTCCCATGCACCTAGAGGAGCTTTGAAATCCATTCAGTGCAGTCACAAAGCTCATACAGAATTTGGCAATTACCAAATTCCCTAGCCCAGGAGCACAGGACTTTGTTGCCCAAGTGCTCCCCTTCTGACACTCAGCACTGTGTTCTATTTGCACAGACTGAGAGCTGCAAGGGGACAACTCCCACACAGGGAGAGAAGCAGCTGCTGGCCAAGGGGGCTCCCTCTACAAACAGCCTGGGCTCAGTGGGGCTCAGCCACCTCTGCTCTGCTGCTGTCTGGGCACTGGGAGGTGATCCAGGCTCAGGGAGCCCATTTCTAACTCAGCTCCTTCCACCTGATGATGGATCCATGGCAAATGGACCCATCCTGGAGGCCAGGGGCCAGCAGGGCCTTAGTGCTTGTTCACTAAAGCTATTCTGCTCTGGAGCTCTCTGGCCTTTGAGGGAATGCTGGCAAAGCCATGCCATGAAAACCTCTCCCTGCACTGCCTGGGCTGTTCTGGGATCAGTCAGGCAGACACAGCATTCTGAGCCCTGGCCTTGCACAGGAGACTCCCTGGAAGCTGCAGGGCCAGGGGGGATGTGCCAGCACTGCCTTGCTGACCAGGGACTCTTCCCAGCACTTCCATGGGAGCCCAGTGGGCTCAGGCTTGCACCATGGCTTCACTGAGGGGGAGAGAAGCAGGGCAGAGGAGCTGCACCTGAGATGCTGCAGTAAGCCACACTTCCATACTCCAGTGCTTCCAGGGGCTTGAAGGTCACCTTGATTTCAGCTGAACAATTCGGTCCAATTTCTCCCTCCTACAGCAGAAAGAGACAGCAAAACATTGCTCTGCAAACTTCATATTGCTTGTTTTCACCACACTCCTGTAAGCCTTTGTTTAGAGCATCAATGATGAGTGAACAACACAAGGAGCCAAGGAAACACTCCAAACTCAGCTCAGCACAGCTCTCAATGCTCAGCTGATCAGCTCCCACTCTCCACAATATTCCTGCTGCTCTGACACAAGCTCTTGGGGACATCATGCTGCTGTCAGCTACAGTGGGATGCAACTGCCACTGTGCACTGCTGGCTCTCAGTGGAGTACTCCCATAGGAGTAAGCAAGAAGAGAACATGATCCCCTTCCTTGAAATGCAAATATTAGTTCAGCTGTTTTGAAAGAAAGCAGAGGTTGGGATTATTCGGGGCTTTACTCCAAGATGAGAAGGGATTTTGCACTGTGCAGACACCAGGCATTCATCATCTCTCCCAGTGCCAGTACTCAGAATCAGGGCTCTGCTGGATGGGAGCACGTGACAATTTGCTTGCATCACCAGAAAAGGAAAAGGTTTTCTGTCCCTGTGTGCAGGAGAACTCCAAAGGCCCATTTCAACCTTGCACCCTTGTGTCCAGGCTCACAGATGACACTGGAAGGCAGACTCAGAAATAGTGCAAGGCGTGCTCACAGGAGGGGATTGGCATTTCTGTCATTAACCTTGGGCTGAATTTGGCCTCCTTTTGCCAGGGAACCATTGCAAGCTTCAGGTCAGTGTGTGAGCTGGCAGGGCTCCAACAGCCTCTGCTGAGCCCCACGTGTGGGGGGAGCCCCTGCCTACAAGAACTGCTCCCTGTGACCCTGCAAGGACACGCACACAGGGCCTTGAGCTCCAGCCTGGCAGCAGAGCTGGGCTTTGTCAGGCTCCCAGCCCTGCCTTGAGCCTGCAGGGCACAAATGCTTTGAGCAAGGAGCTCTGCAGCTGCTCCAGAAACTCCATGTCCTCCCTGCCAGCACATGGGGCCAGCTGAGGATCTGCCCAGTGACCACAGCCGGGGGAAGGGGTGGGTGTAGGGAGTAGGGTGGGTGGGAGGAGAAGGAGGAGGAGGAGGAGGAGGAGAAGGAGGAGGAGGAGAAGGAGGAAGAGAATGTTCTCAGCTATCACTTACCATTGGCTCAATGACAAAAACGTCATGGGAGAACAGCATGGGGTCTTCTCGCACCTTTGCCATCTTCTCCTGGACCATGCTGCTCAGGAGGGCACTGTGATCTCCACTAAAGCCCTTCACCTTCTCTGTTTCTTTCTCCTCTGGGAAGTTTTCCTGGGACACCTCTTTCTGCAGCTGCAGCAAACACTGCCTGCAGCCCCAGGGAGAGACAAGGCCAGCAGATGGTTTCATGAGCCACAGATTTGCAGAGAGAAGTGGGAGAGCAGGAGAGCAAAGCACCTGGGGAGGAGCAGCAGCAGCAGCTCCCCAGCAAAGGCTGAGCCCAAGCCACGAGGGTCCCACATGGATCAGAGGATAACTTGCTGTTCACTGGCACAGCAGGGAGTTTTACTCCACACTTGCAAGCTCAGCAGAGGTTTCCAAAGCCAGCAGCCCTCCAGAGAAGCTCCTGCCTCAAAGCCTCTGCCACAGCTGAGGGAGAATCCAGCGGCCACCTCAGCTGGCTTTTCCTTCCACTGAGATGCTCGGGGGAGGCACAGAAAGATCACAGAGCACCCACTGCAGCACTTCCCTGGCAAGGGGAGACCAAGCTGGCTTGCAGCTACGTGTTACCAGCATCACTCTTTGTTTCTTCCATTTTGGACCTGCCCCGTTCCCTGCTCTGCCTTTCACAAGAGCATCCCAGAGCACTTCCAAAGGAAATTGATGAATTCAGGCACCCAATCCCTTCAGTGACATTCAAGGTTTTATATGCAATATGCATGAAAATAGAGCCTCTGAGAGGCAAAGGGACTTTGTTGTGCAGGAGGGAGACAGCAAACTCCTGGAGAGACCTTTTCATGAGCCAGAGCTTTTTGGCTCCCATCCCAGTGCATGGCAGTAGAATGTCCTGAGAGGGAAATTCTATCTGCACTATCTTCTCTCATAAAAAATCCTCTCTGCTCTGAGAGCTCAAAAGCTTCTCTGACAGCAGGACAGGGGGAGACAACCAGCCCCCATGGGCAAGGAGCTTTTGAAGGAACTAAGGGGAAAAAAGAGGGTGTATCACCTTTGGAAAGAGGGACTGGCAACTCAGGAAACGTTTAGGGATGTTGCCAGGTCATGTAGAAAGAAGATTAGAGAGACAAGAGCCCAATTAGAACCTGAGGAAATCCAGTCATCACAATCAACCTTTCCTTCCCAAGATGCCGTCCCTGGCTGGACTATCAATGAACTGGAATGCTGAGTGCTGAGCTCCTGAAGCCCAGGGACACACACCCCAGTGCCAGGCATGGGTTACTTGGCCTAAACCATTCCAAAGCACCAACACCCCCTGAGGCCACACGTCAGTTTCAGTCTTGGGCCTGTATCTCACTGACATGCATCTTTCAAACCAACCTCCTCTTCATTCTCTTCTTCCTCACTAGGAAAAGCCTTCCACTGGAAGTGGGCTGTGATGTTACTCCTGTTTTCAATGAACAGGGTTCTGTGACTTGACATGGTGATGAAAGTCTTGTCAACCTCCACGGAATCTGTGCTCAACCCAATGTTGACATCTACAGCTTCTCCATGGAGCTTTGTGTGGATTCTTTCTTCACCTGGGACAAAGCAAAGTGGAGTCTTTGCTCAGCTCACTGTCTGATGGAAGCCAAGGAAGGAACGGAGCAAACCACAGGGCACAGAAGAAAGTATCACAGTTTTGAGCTGAATGAGCAGTTCTGTGGATCAGTCCATTTATCACATCCTCACAGTTCTGTGTGTAGAGCGTGGGGATGTCCTGGGCAGCTCCTTAAACACCTTATTTCTGAGGGTGTTTGTAGAGATTTGGCCCCCAGGTGACAGGATGGGCAGGGAGATTGGTCCATGTGCTCCGGTGACCCACTCAGATCACCGGGATTTCTGCATCCAAGTCCTTCAGGTGACAGGGCTGAGGAGCCCTGTTCAGCCCTGCCTTGCCCAGGGCCTCCCCGGGCATCCCAGGAGACTCCTGTCTCTCCTGATGCCTTGGATCCCTTCTTGCTGACCAGCAAATATGCCTGGGGGCAGGTGGGCAGCAAAAGGAGGCCCAGAGGAACAAGTGAAGTGACAGCCCAGAGCAGGAGGGGACACAGGTGAGGAAACACAACCAGCCTGGCTCTGCAATGTGACAAACCATTACAAAATGAGCACCATAAAAATCATCATCATCATCATCTTCCTGTCCAAACCCACAGCCACATCAGTCTTGAAATATTTTATATTGTTCTGATCTGAAAAACCAAGCTGGAGCATTGCAGATCAAATAAGAAAGGGACAAAGGAAAAATTAGTGAGTACAGAGCAGTTTCTACATTAAGACTGAATGGGATTCCTCAGTCTAGAAATCAAATGGGAGATAGATGTGAGACGTTTGCAACAGCGTGAACGGCCTGGGAAATGGGGACAGGGAAAAATTTGGTTGGATTTGTCACAACAAAGGAACTTGAGGGCCTGAAAATGTTGTTATGCAGAAACTACATCTATGTGGAAGGGCCACATAGAAAAAGGGTCTGTGACAAGCCAGTGGAGAAGCAGCATATGGGACAGAGGTGTGCAAGAAATCCATTGCATTGGAGAGAGTCTGATGGAGACCTCACCTACAGCACTGCCCAGGAATCAAATAAAACTTCACCCAGGCATAGCCACATGGTAGTGGAGAATCAGGGATCCTCCTTCCTCCACTCAGCAACTCCAGCAAAACAGGAGTCCAAAATCTTTGCCTTTGTTAGAGGGGATCCACTTTCTCAAGCCCCTGAACACCAAGGAGTTCTCAGTTTGCTTTGGGGTAAAGCTGAACAGGGGAGGGAATGCAGGGGATGGGACAGCAGGGAGCCATGTGGAGAACTGTCCTGTGCCCTGCAGGGCCCAGCACTCACCTGAGCTGCAGCACACGGCCAGGGAGCCGCAATGGGCACCGCTGGCCAGCGGGTGAAATGCCACTGTCACCTGCACGGTGTCACCAGCGCCCAGAGCTCCTGTGGCCGGCACCACGGAGAAAGGACTGCAACACAAAGAGAGGCATCAGGCCTGGGGGACACCTGGCCATGAGATTCCTGCTGCACTGCAGCTCCCTGCAGCTCCCTGCAGCTCCCTGCAGCTCCCTTGGGCAAGCAGGGAGCAAACCAAGCACAGCCAGCAGAAGACAGCCAGAACAGACAGGGTCAGAAACAGCCACTGAGCCACTGCTGAGGAGATCCAGCCCTCACAAGATCCTGGGGGTAAAATGACAGCTCCCCCATACTCTGCATCCAGCTCTCTGCAATCAGGCTCAAGGGTCCCACTGCCAGCAATCCCATCAGAGAATGGTTGGTGAAAAGCACAGAGAGGGTTCAGAGCTATCTGCATGCACAACTTGACACTGACTGCCTCAGGAATTTCTCTTTTCCTGCTGCCTATAAACCTCATCTCAGGAGATGCAAATGTTAGGGCACTCCCTCTTCTGGGAGATTACAGCCTAGGAATCAGACAGGGAGAAGGAACTTTTCTCTGAATACCAAGGAATAGTTACTGTTGAATTTGCAGTGTGGTTCTTTGGTTTCTTTGCCCTTGAAAACATCCTGATTTAGCCTAAAATGGACACATTTTATCAGCATTTCAATGGAAGCTGCTCTAAGAAAAGGAGCAATCAAAACTCTGAAGGAGTGCAAATGCAGATTAGAGCAATAGAGTGAGATGGAAACAAGACCCAAAAGGAGGATGCCATTTACAGTCTGAAGGGTCCAATCCCAGCTAAATGAAGCACCAGGAGCAGGAGCACATCAAGGAAGCAGAACAGGAGGTTTCTGTGTGTTTACCAGCAATGCAGTCTGGGACTCTGGGCTGTCATGCAGGCTGGTAATTGTTTGCTTGGCCCAGCAGAGAAACTCTGTGCAATGTGTTGGAAATAATGATGCAGATGTGTTGGTGCACTTTGGATTTACCAGGAGCAATCAGGATTGGTCACCAGGTAAACAGCTTCGCCTGACAAACACAAGACTCTGTGCTTTGATGCTCAGGGAGAGCTCAGGGGAAATGTGCTTGTGCCCAGCAGCTGCTGGGCTTTGTGCTCTTCTACAGCCCCAGGGAGGAAACAAAAGTTCCTGGCCTTGGTGCTTTGCTGCTGGTCAATGTGTCACTTCAAAGTGTCTTCTGGGGAATTTGGTGATGAATGCATCACACACAAAAACAAAGAGAACATCTGGCAAGCTGAACTTTGCTCATGTCAGTAGTGACAGCTGATGAATTGCTTCAGGTTTTGCTCATTCAGGACCTCTTGCTGCAGTGATGGGCTGAGCTGCTCCCATTCCCACTGGTGAGAACATCACTGGTGGCTGATGGAGAAGCCTTGGGACAGCAATGTTCATGTGCTGGACGTGAGACTTTGGAGGGAGGGGAGGAAAGACAAGGCCCCAGCAGCCCCAGAGCCAGATCAGTGCACGTGCTCCTGCATCTGCCCCGGGGCTGATGCCATCACTGCTGCAGCTCTGCTGGGGCTCGGGGGGATCAGGGCCTGCTGGGGGCAAGGCACAGCATTCTTCTCTTAGTCTTTTGCCAGAAATTTCAGAATTCAAAATCAGAACAGAGAAGCTGCCACTTAGGGGAATCCCTGGCCAGGCTTCAGCACTACCTTCCATTCCATTCCATTCCATTCCATTCCATTCCATTCCATTCCATTCCATTCCATTCCCACTTCAGCCCCATGTTACATGCTCCCATGCTCCTGCCCTCAGTTGGCAGGATGGGAATAACATTCTAGGGGTGACTTCAGGGCTTGCCTGAGAAAGAAGGTGTCTTCTTCTTTTCAAATTATCAGGAGAAGAGGATCCAGCCAAGTTCAGGACTCAGTTGTCAGGACTGAAAAACTGAATGCAAATCAGCCCCTGCATCTCCTACATCCCTGGGCTGTACCCATCAGACTCCTCTGTTCCTGCTGTAGCAGTCATCTCTCACACAGACCTGGCTCTACAGCTAAACTTAACTCCTCTCAATTTCAGCCAACATCACTAAGCTGTTCCCTCAGCCCACAGATAGAAGAGCTGTGAAGGACACATCCCTGACACTGTAAGAACCAAATGAAAACCACTGCCAAGAGATGGGGCTGGCAAGCTAAATGTTGGTCTTTTCTCTGTTCATTGTGAGCTGCTCCTTAAGACACTTCTCATCCTGTTAGATCCATCCTCTCAATGAATCACTACTGCACCTGACAGGCAGAAAAGATAAGGGATGAAGGGGGTTTTAATAGGTTGTTTTCTTCTGCTTTTTAACTAGGTCCATTGACATGTTTGTTTCCTTGTATGGCATCTAAAGACAGGCCCAGATCTCCCAATGGCACCTTGCAATCCCCAGACACTGCTCTTGCTTTGAGCAGTGTGTGTGCTCAGATGATTTCCAGAGGTCCCCTCCAGGACCACTGCAAAGCCACGTGCCTCCCAGAGAATGGCTCTGTTTGGCTGACAGTGCTGAGGAAGCATTTCAGAAGCTGCTGGTGCTCAGCAGGGTGCAAGCCAGCTACCAACATGTTCCAGCAGCCTCCAGGAAATCTGGGACAGAGAAAGCTCCAAGGCCGCTGAAAGCAAGAGCAGATGCCATCCATGCTGCTCACTTCCAGCCAGGCTGCAGGGCAGCAGCTGCAATGCTTTGGTTCCTTTTGCTGCTCTTCCCCAACCCTGCTCTCTCCCAAAGGTGTTTTGCACAGGGACAGATGAGCTGCCTCACCTCTGGGTGCTCAGCTGGTACCGAGCTGCCCGGGCACCGACATTGCGCACCAGCAGAGTCTGCCGGGTGCTGACCTTGACTGGACACTTGGAGAAGTCCAGCTGGGCAGGGAAGTCCAGCACAGCTCGGGCACCGATGGCCCGAATTGGCACAACTGTCCTTTCCCTGGCAGTGATGCAGACCAGCTCGTGGCAATAATCCTGCAGGAAAAGAAACTGCCTCAGCACAGGGCATTTAGTGCCATCCCCATGGCAGAAGAAAAACCATTTCTATAACCCTTCAAGGGCATCAATTTACCTACTGCACCCTAAAATGAACACTAAGTTCTACTAATATGTCACATTTTAAAGGCACCGGAGCACTTTGCAAAACCCATCTCTGTGGCATTCAGCTCTTGTGTCACTTGGGTCATACCCATACCCTAGGCCACCATAATTTTTACTCTAAACTTTAATGATGTTAAAGAATTCCTAAGGGCCTTCTAAGGAGCATGGAGCAAGGGAGACCAGGACATTTATCTTTAGGTTTCTATATTCCCACTGTCTGAGAATAGGACAAAGTGTTTAACTGCCTCTAAGCAGCAAAAAGAAGATGAGAAAACAGCTGCACCCAGAGTCCTGCACCTCTGGCCTGGTGCAGAAACATCAGTTGGCTCAGAACTCCCCTCTAACTTTGCCTGTCCAGCCAAGTCAGGAGAAGAACAGTGCCAAGAGGCAGCAGGATGCTGTTGGAAAGGGCCTCTCTTTGTTTCCCTGCAAGGCTTCCTCCATTCCATGCCATGTCCTAAACCTTTCTGTATGAACAAGCCTCCAGATCAGAACATGAACCCTCCAGATGCCAGCACCGAGATCAGACTTGCCAGGGCCTCAGCACTGCTGTTCAAACCTGCCCACAAAAGCACCTTTGGCACGGAATGGGTGCCAGCTGACAGAGCAAGCACAGTGACAGGCATGAAGACAGAGCCCCAGCAGTGTCACTGCCACGGGCTCTGGGCTCACAGCTCTGCCTGCAGCTTGTACCTGCCCTGCAGCAGCTCCTGCAGGCAGGTGTCCAAGTCCCCTGCAGCTCAGCAACCTCCTGCTGACCAAGGGCACCCAGAACCCAGTGTGCCTGTGCCAGGCCGGGCTCACAGGCACAGCACATCCTCTGCCCTGGGCCTGCAGCTGTGCCATGGTCACCTGTGCTCTGGGACAGCACAGCTGCAAGGCTGCAGAACAGAGGGAGTGAAAAAGCACCGTCTTTGCTCCAGCCCAGGGGCAGGCAGGGAAGCTGTTGCCAGTCAGGAAGGAGGAAAGCTCTCTGACCTCTTTGTTCCTCTACTGTTTTCTATCATAATGAAACCCCTTCCACTGGACCTAGAGATGGCCCAACATCTATCAACAGCCCTCTGTCATTTTCATCCTGTTCCCTGTGCATCTTCCCCTGGCAATGCTCAGGGATGTGCAGGGAGGGGAAGCAGAGCCTGTCAGGCCTGGCTGCAGTGCCTGCCAGCAGTGCCAAGGTGTGACTGGCTGCTGCAGGCTGCCTGCCCAGGGCCTGGAGCCCAGCTCACAGCATGCAATGGGCTGGAGCAGAGTGCAGGGAAAACAATGGCTGTGGAGATCATTGTGTGCTTTGGCTCCTCCAGCCTCACCTTGTTCTCGTCGGGGCTGAAGCGGATGCGCACAGGGGCAGAGGCGCCTGCTGGCACCATATGGTACACATCCCTGGGGCACGCCAGCTGGAAATAAGGGCAGCTCTCCATGCACACCTTCACCAGCCGAGGCATCTGCAGCAAAGACACCAAACGATGATTTTGCCACTTGTGGAAACGGGACCAGAGGAGACCTGTCCGTGCCCTGCTGACATCCCTCTCTGGCCCCTTTCCCAAAGCACTTTCAGCTGTGCAGGCACAGGCACATCATTCACAAGGCTGAACTTGAATCCCTTCTGTCTGGCTCCAGCATTTTGGCCAGGGCCAGCAGGGCAGTGCCTGCTGGGAAGGAAGTGCCGAGCAGCTCAGCACCAGCAGGATGGAGACAGAGCACCTGAACCAAGTCATCTGCATATTCAACAAGGCCAAAAAACCTGCTGGCTTCTGCCTGCACACAGCCATGAAGTTGTCATGGTCCAGAGGGGGAATGTGCTACCTAAAAGCAAACCAGCACATTATCCTGGGGGAAGGAAGAAATTCCCTTCTAGCAGATCAGGTTTGGGTAGGGACCTTGTGGGGATACAGTCAGGCAGGCAGAGCAGCAAGAGAGGAGACCAAACACTGTGGCCTTATTAGGAATAAAAGCAAACCTGAAAAGCAAAGGAAGGAAGGAACACAGCAAGACCATCCCTAAAACACAGAGATGGCAAAGAGAATTCAAATGGGCAGTAAAGCAGCAAGGAAGAATCATAAAACCGTGAGAGCAACCAGCTTGCCAAAAGTGACAGAAACACTGACAGACTGTGCCTATGGACTCTGGGCTTCAAAGGCATTTTCTGCCTGGAGAAACATGACCAGCACTGAGTGACAGTGTGGTTCCAGTATTAAAGCCAATCTTGGCTCTCCAGGGCTTCCTGCTGCCTGTGCAGGCAAGCTGGGCTGCTGGGCATTCCTGCCTGCAGCCAGCAGGCCAGGTGCTGCCCTCTGGGATTCAGAGACACAGCACACATGCATTTTCTAGCACACAGATATCATCAACCCCTGAGCACCAAAATGCTCTCCAAAAGTCTAAACCAGATGATTTGGGCTCCCTCCCGTCTCCTCCCACCAGCCCACTCTTGGCACAAGCCTCACTTGAAAAAATGTTTCCCTGACTGAAATTCAAGTGGTCTCAAGTTTTCCTCTTTACAGTGGAACACAACTGCTGACATTTTTCAACTTTTTCCCTCTCAGCTCTCTTGGGAAACTGCAAAACAATCCCAATTTCTTCAAGTGAAGGTGGAAACCTCCAGGAACACATGGCTTTGGATGTGCTGTGGTTCTCCAAAGGGAAAGCAGAGCACCGTGTTGCTTTTGGAAAAGCTGAGCAGAGCTGGATGAAGCTGAGCAGGAGCCTCAAGTGGCACCTAAAGGCCTCTCACTGCTTCTGCTCCATCAGTCTCATTGCAGGGCTCTTTCAGAACACGGTTCCTGCAGTGCCAATGCCATTAATGAGAAGTGATTCCAGCATAAAGTGCAGAAGGCTCAGCCCCTGAGCTCTGACTCTGAGCTGCACAAAGGGAGCCAAACTGGCTGAGAGAGGCAGAGATTCCTACCAGGAGCCAAGATTAACCAAGGAGACACAGGATGTGCTACAGACTCAAGGCAAGGCATGAGAGCAGGTAAGAACTGTACAGCCCTCAACATTCCTATCAATCCAGAGCTTGCAAGAGAAGGAAACTCCTTTGGGATAGACACCATCAGCGCATGGCCAAAATCAGGGGACAGTTTCCAGCACAGGAAGATTTCCACCATCTCGCAGAACAAGGTGCTGAGACATTTTCCTCTGCATGTGCTGCAGCAGATAACTTGCTTTGCTGTACACTGGGGGAATGACAGCACTCTCCTCTTCCAGCACAGTGTTAAAGCTCTGGGTGCCAGCACTTACCTTGTCCTTATTCATGAGAGACAGCACCATTTCAGAGACCTCCCCAGCGACGAAGTTCTGAAATACCAGCTCTGGTGGGGAAACCCCAAACCAGCTCTGTTTCGGGGCAGCTGACAGCAGCTGGAGAGGACAGAGAACAGGGAGAGCTTCAGCTGCTGGGAGGAAGGTTCATGCAGGAGAATCTTCCACTGATCCCCAGTGAAGTACGGACTCTGGGGGAGCACATCTGCCCAGCCCACACTGGGCAAACAGTGGCTCACCCACCTCTGCTCTGAGCTGATCCAGAGCTGCTGGGCCACACAGAGCTGGCTCAAGCCAAGCTGCTCTTTTGGCATGGATTTCTCCAGGTTTCCTTCTCCACAATGCCAGGCAGCACTTTCCTAAAACACAGCCCTGTGCCCATGTGGTCACAGAGCTCTGGGGCACTGACTGAGCACTCCTGGAGTAAGTAAAACCCATGAATTTACAGGAGACTCCATGGGAAACAATTTTGGGATGTCCTTTACTCTGAGACAAGGAAACCAAGGCCCACACAACTGCAAATATCTTTTTTGCTCTAGAACTTAGACATCAGTAAGAAGAGCACAGGACCAGAGGAGGTGTGAGAGATGAGCTGACATTTGGCTGAAGCCAAAAGGTTATGAAGCAAAAGAATGGAATTTGGTGGTTCTGTGTGTCGCTTGTGGTTTGGATTTGTTCATGTTGAGTGTCACAGTGAGAGGGACGGGGTTGAAGACCTGACCAAAAGGAAGGAGGACGAGAGGGGAGGGGACAGAAAAGTTGGTGGTCAGTAGAGAATGGAAGCTCCTGAGTACCCATCCAATGGCAAAGGGTACCAGGGCCGCCCCAGCCGGGTACAAAGGGGATACAAAGATTGCCATTTTCTCGGGGGGGGGTGTGTGTGTGCTTGGCTCTCGGGGAGGGAGACATGCCCAGCTCAGCTGAATCCTTACTAAGAAACACTTTTCTTTTGCTCAAAAGTTCGTGTGTTTCAAACAGAGGGAAAGGCAAAAATAAAAAGACAAATGAGCTGCAAAGAAAAAGACAAGTGAAGTGAATGCTGAATGAGGATAAGGTTCAGTTATTTTCTCATCAACTTGGGTAAAAGTAGAGTTGCTATCTCCTTTTTCCATGAGCTTTAAATGGGTGCTTTCTTGTCATTATTGCTATCTTATTTAATGCCATTGTAGAGGCACGTCTGGAATGACACAACAACAGCAAATGCTTCTGGAGCAGAGACATTGCTTGGAGAAAACTCTGCCCTGCTTTGTCTGCCTTCTCCAGCCACACTGCTGTCACTGCAGAGATGCAAGCAGGTCTCCTCTGTGACTTCACAGCAGACACATTCTGCTGAAGGGAGTGGCTGCAGCACACTGTCCCTTAGGTGTGCCCTTCCCTGAGGTGTTCCCAAGGCCCCTGTCCAGGACAATCCTTAACCTGGATTGTGTTCCATGTCTCTTGGGGCCAATTTCCTGCTCAACAGCCCACTTCAATCACCTACCCCTTTGGACTGTGCTTTCTACTGAAAGTCCTGCCAGAAAAGCAGCTTTAAACACACCTCTAAGTAGGCACTGATCCAGATAAAGAACATCCATTCCCCTCTGCCCAGGGCCAGTCCCCTGTACATCTGGCAGCCTGCAAAATCTAACACCCCATCAGCAGTAATGCAATTTGTTTTGTTAAATCTGAAGTAATTCCTGCAGATCCTTGGCCTTCAAAGGCCAACGTTGCCACTCTGGAAGGAATCCTGTGACCCCAAGCATTTGATGGTGACCACACCAAAGCAAGAGGTGCCTCCTTCAGCAGGAGAATGGCAAATGGCAGTCTGTGCCTTTGTGTCCCCAGCCTTCCCCCTGCTAGCAATGGCAGCTACACTCCAGCACACCCCAGCAGCTTCAGCAGAGGTTATTTGTGTTGCTTAGTGCAGATCAGGACTCCCAGTCCACCACTCCCAGCAGTTTGCAATGACAGCAGGACCTGGACACTGAGGTCTTTTGCTGGAGGCAAGCCTGTCACAAGCACACACCCTCTTCAAACTTCCTCTTAAACAGAAAGGAAAAGAGTAGGAAAAGGCTACCTTTGGACCAGTCTCACTCCTGTCTAGAAATGGGCCAATTCTGGGCAGAATACTCCCTCCAGTGCCAGCCTCCTTCTTCCTGCTGAGAAACTTCTCCCTCAAGAACTTAGAGGGAAGCAGCTGAAAGGCAAAAATACAGCAGCTAGAGCCTCAGAGATGCGCTTGTTCAGAAAGGCTTTTCTTGAACAAGTGGCACTGGTGAATAACTTGTGATCACATCCACTAGGACAGCCCTGGAAGCCCTGGAAGTTTCCTGCTGAAATACTTAGCATCAGTCAATTAATAATACAGAGTGCAATACACATACTCCAGCCACAAGGCTCTGTCCCATGAGCTTCTCCGTGACTGGATGGGACATGGTTGGGGATTTCTGCTCTTTGGGCATTTGTTTCCTCTTATGTCTCATTGGATTGAGGCAGTGACCTTTCCAGAGAATGGGGAGGAGCTCTCAGAGCTGCCTGAACTCCATCCCTGCACAACACTCAGAACTCACAGCAAGGAGATATCGCTGCTGGCTGAGTCCAAGAGATGCAAGAAAACAAAGTTGTACCTATAGTGAGGTGCACAGGAATGTGTCCAGGTTTTAGTTCTCCCTGTTAATTGTTTTCTCTGTCTGGGCTGACAGAGCCCTCCACAGAAGAAAACAGAGGGATCTCCTTGACAGAGCCTCAGCAGTGGGGCATCTTCAGTCAAGTGAGCTGCAGACAGCAAGGGACCTTTGTGGCCCTGGCCCCAGTGCTGCCTGCAGGGCTGGATCTGTGCCCACACAGGAGCTGGGAGAGAACAGCTGCTTTGCAAGCTCTTCCAGCTGGGACCAGCCGTGGCTCTCAAGGCTTTGGGCAGAGTTTGAGCCTCCCCCTCACATGCCCAGGTGCCCAAGGGCAGGATGGTCAGAGCAGCACAGGTGAGTGCCCACCTGACAGAAGGAATTCCTGTGGCAAAGGGAAAGGGACAGAACACATGCTCAGGGCTTCAGCTGTACATTGGTTTCACTTGGCTCCGCTGGCACAGCCAGGCAAGGCACGACTGAAGCATCCCACAGTGTTCCCTACTGCACCAGGACAGCCCCAGCAACAGGAGCACGGCACAAAGGGCTGGGGAGGGGCTCTGCAGCTTCACAGCACTGCTGGACAACAGGGGCAGGGAGAGCAGGGACACCAGGGCAGTGCCAGCCTGAACACAGCCCCAGTGGGTACTTACAGTAAAAGACTTCAGTCCTTCCCTGGACAAAAGACGAGGTGTTGGTGTCTTCTTTGGCAATCCTGACGCCATTTCCAAGGGAGGATGTCGCAGATGAGCGACAATGCCTCAACAAAACTGGAAGGAGCAACAATGGAACTCTGAAAATCCAGCACCCAATTCATGGCAGATTCTAGGGGTATACTGGTGCTAAAAATGTTATATTATTTGAAAGTAGCTAAGTGCTTGTTTGGTGTAAGTAGCTAGTATAGTTAGGCCTCTAGTTGGACTTTATTTGAACTCAATGGCTACCTTGTGCAATTCAAAGATGGATATACTGAAACCTGGAGCTCAAAAGCTGAACATTAATAAGAGCTGGAACAGACAAAGCTGTAGTTTAAATATTACTTAAAAATAGCTAGAGTGGGCCTCCTCTTCTTTAGGCTAAAGCACCCCTGCTCTCTCAGCTGTTCCTCACAGCTGAGAGACTCGTGAGAGACTGGAATGTTATGGCTAATGGCTTAAATATCATTATAAAGGACTTTCTGCCCATTGGGACAAAACTGTATAAAGAAGCTGCAACCACCAAAGCCCAGCCTTCCCTGAAAATGCCTCCTGACTGGAACTTGGCACTGTGAGTTAAGCTGCCTAAGGGAACTTGAGACAAGATCAAGGTGACACTATTGTCCCATTAGCTCAGGGCTGGGGAGAAGTAAACAAGGCTGAGGAGAAAAACCTATCCACAACAAAGCCAAACCCAGCAGCTGTCCTGAAAATCAGCCCAGTCTGGGTTCAGGCTGGGGAAGTCACAGCCACAGACTCTTCTGCTGAGGCCAGGTTTGCACACAAACCTCCCATCAAAGACCTCCACAGTGCCTCCAGACCCATTCCTGAGGGCTTGCACCAGACAACTGCAGGGCATGCAAAGTAACTCAACAAACCTGAAAATCCAGAACCCAACTCATGGCAGACTCGAAGGATATACGGGTGCTAAAGATTTTATATTATTTGAAAGTAGCAAGAGACAGAGTCAAACTTGCCCCACCCCAGGGAGGTACCTGGGCAGTCCCACCTTGCCCAAATCTGCATGAATCCATTGGAGTCTTACGTTTTGGGAGACCTCACCACAGAGAAGACCACAAGAGGATTTAATGGTATGCTGATGGGATTCATGGAATGGTGATATTTTCTACTAAATCTGTCTCTGTCACTCTCTTTCTCCCCCCTCCCCTTCCCAACCCCCATCACCCTCACGCTTTTTCTTTTCTTTCTCTCTCTTTCTTCCTCACATTTACTGTTACATAAAATCCAGACCATTGACTTTGGCATGTGGTCTCACTTGCACCTCAATACAGAGGCATCTCCCTAATAATTTTGATAACCAAGTGATAAAAACCCACTGAAACTTGAACAGAACTCATTCACCTTTAAGCAGTTTAAGCAATTACTATAGGGAAAAATGTATAGACTAGTATATTTAGAAAATGTTGCATTTCTTCAGTGAAAAAAAAGCACAATCAGTATACCATTTATTGTTCATCCTCTCAGGTGTACTGAACTACTGTGCCAGAAGACTGGCATGATCACATCCTCTATTGCCCTTTGGCATTCTCTTTCAGAGCACAGATGAAACAAAACCAAAAAGTTCAACTTTAGTTGGTCTTTACCTTCAAATGAAATTCAGGACTCCCTAGCAGAGACCGATGCTCTGCACGCTGAGAAACTTTTCGCAGAGGCCAATGCTCTGCACCTTTAGGAATTCTCTGCGCAGACCAATGCTCCGCCAACAATTCCCTTGGCAAATCGCCCGCTGCAGCCGCCTGCAGGAGCCCAGGCTGCGCACACCCAGCCAGGGCCGCGCTCTCAGGCGGCTGAGGCCGCGCCGCCGTCACAGACGCTGAGGGCCCGGGCGCGGTTACCGGGCAACCGCGGCACCGAGTGCGGGGCCGGGCCGGGCCGGGCCGGGCCGGGCCGAGGGGATTTCCAAAGGAGATTGTCACTCGAGCGACTGACTTCAGTTTGGTGCTTCCCAAGAGTCTTTCTGTAAGTAAGGAAAGGTTAAAATGTGGTGATAAAGGCACCTATGTCAGGTCTATTCATTGCTCTTTGTAGCACTACTATTCTACCCTGGCTGGAACAGCAGGAGGGGCTGAGGGAGCTGGGATGGGGGCTCAGCCTGGAGAAAAGGAGCCTCAGGGGGGACCTTCTGGCTCTGCACAACTCCCTGACAGGAGGGGACAAGAGGCTGCTTCAAGTTCAGGCCCCGCCGGAGCCGCGTGCTTCCCCCTCTCCTCCTTCGCTCCGCCTCTTCCTCCCTCCTCCTCCTCCTCCTCCCCCGCTCCCGGAGCCCTCGCAGCCCGCGGGAGGGGCGGGGATGGAGCCGGGACAGGTCGGAACGCAGAGAGGGCTGGGTGGGGGGATGTCAGGAGTGGGAGTGACTGGGCTGTACTGGGATCGTCCTGGGAGCACCTCCTGGGTGACTGAGTTCTCCTGGGATCATCCTGGGATCACACTGGGAGTGAGGAGGAGCAGCGCGATGGCTCCAGCGCTGGGGCTGGGGGCGCTCCTGGGGGCCAGGGGGGAGTGGGACCCCCGGCACCGGGACCCTGAAACCGCCACTGCCGG